TCTCTCTCTCTCTCTCTCTCTCTCTCTCTCTCTCTCTCTCTCTCTCTCTGATAAAAGGTTTCTCTGTATAGCCCAGGCTGTCCTAGAACTCACTCTGTAGATCAGGCTGGCCTCTAACTCAGATCCACCTGCCTCTGCTTCCTGAGTGCTGGGATTAAAGATGTGCACCAACAACTGCTATTGCTTCTTATTGGGGATTGAGAGACGTGGGTACCTGGAGGAGTCTAAGGTGACGTGTGCAATACAGACAATTTCATTTCTATAATACCAAAGACATTCCCTTTCAGAGACCCTTGGGCCAGATGGCTCAGAATTCTGACTTTTCTTTGGGAAAGTGAAATAAGTGGCTGGAGAGATAGTTCAGCCACCAAGAGCAAGTACTGTTCTTACAGAGGACCAGAGCTGCGTTCCCAGCACCCATGCCAAGCCCCAAACTGTCTGTAACTCCAGCTCCAGGGGATCCAATGTCCTCCTCTGAATTCCTTGGGCACATGCATCTCCGAGGTTACACTCACATAGACACAGTCACACATAAATAAATCTTTATTGTTGTTTTTTTTTTCTTTAGACAGGTTTCTCTTTGTAGCCTTGGCTGTCCTGGACCTTGTTTTTGTAGACCAGGCTGGCCTTGAACTCAGAGATCTGCCTGTCTCTGCCTCCTGAGTGCTGGGAATAAAGGCATGGGCCACCACCACCCAGCACCATAAAAATAAATCTTAAACCAGGCAGTGGCGGTGCACACCTTTGATCCCAGCACTCAGGAAACAGAGGTAGGTAGATCTCTGAGATCAAGGCCAGCCTGGTCTATAAGCATGAGTTCCAGGACAGACAAGGTTACACAGAGAAAGCATGTCTCAAAAAACAAAATAAAACCAAAAAATAAATCTTATAAAAAGTAAAATAAGCCAGGTGGTGGTGGTACATGCCTTTAATCCCAGCACTCAGGAGGCAGAGGCAGGCGGATCCTTGTGAGTTTGAGGCCAGCCTGGTCTATGAGAGCTAGTTCCAGGTCAGCTAGGACTGTTACACAGAGAAACCCTGTCTTGAAAAAAATCAAAAAAGTAAGATAAAAATATATGCTGTTTTCTTTGCGTGTGTGCATATACACGGGTGTGTAAATATGTTTGGCATATATGAATGTTATATGGTGTGTGTGGGTGTGCATGTGTATGAAGCCAGAAGAGCTGTTCAGTATTGTGCTGTCACTGTCTGCATTATTTCCCTGAGACAGGGTCTCCCCCTGATCCTGGAGCTAGGCTGGCATCCAGCAAACCACAGCGACCCCCCTGTATCCATCTCTGGCAGCACTAGAGTTAGAGATGAGTTTGTGGTCCTACCCAGCTTTGTATATGAGTGCTGGGGACTTGAACTCAGGTCCTCGGGCTTATGCAGCAAGTTTTCTTCTCTACCAACCATCTTCCCAGGCCCAGTGAATGCACACATGCAGCCTATGAAACAAATACCCTGACCTAGGTCCCAATCAATTGTACTAATTTTCTATTGTGGAGATATATATGTGTTTGGGCTATCTATTACAGTGTAACAGATATTCCAAACATCAGTAGCTTAAAAATCATGATTTTATTTACTCAGGAAACTGTTGGCCATGAATTGCAGCAAGGCTAGGCATGGAGGAGCTTCAGTTCCATATTGGTTTGGAAGCATGCTCTCAGCTAGGTATAAAAGCTGTCCCTCCCATACACATTACAGCATTCTCACCTGGCCTGCATTTCCATGAAGCTGGACTCGGTCACAGCATGGTGGGCTCTGGCTACCAAGGGGCAAAAGTAGTGTGTTAGTTATTTTTCTTGTTGCTTCAAAAGAACATGAAGAGGGGAGGGCTCACTGGCACAGAGTTTGAGAAGGGATACAGTTGCCATGACAGGGGAGGTATGGTGGCAGGAACCTGAGGCAGCTGGCCACATGGTATCCATAGGCAGGAAGCAGAGAGAGAGAAGTGGTTGTATTCAGTTGATTTTTCTCCTTTTTATTTTTATGCCACCCACGTTCAGGGTGAGTCTTCTCCACTTGGTTAAACCTCCCTGAAGGCTCTTTCCGCAGATACACCCAGAGGTATGTCGTCTAGGTGATTCTAAATCCAGTAAAATAACCTGAAGATGAACTACTACAAGCAGGGCCTTCAGGTCCAAAACCTCAGGATACATACTATCTTCAAAACCAAACCAAACACACAGTGTAACTGTAGGTTTCTTTTCTGTCCTAGTCCTGCAGCCACTTTAAAAATAACCACTCAGAGGTTTAATATTAACTACATGCTGTTTGGCCTATTAGCTCGGGCTTATTATTAACTAGCTCTTACAACTTAAATCAACCCATTTCTACTAGTTTATATTTTACCACCGGCTCATGGCTTGTTATCTCACATCTTGCTTCTCTAGTGACTGCTTGCATCTTCCAGACTCTGCGTTTTTTCCCCCGTCTCTTTGGATTCCCTGCCTAGCTATATTCTGCCTTGCCATAAGCCAAATCAGCATCTTTATTAGCCAATGATAATAAACATATTCACAGCATACAGAGGGGAATCCCACATCGACACAGACAACATGTTCTACTGGCAAAGGCCAGCCCGGCTTCCAACAGGAAAAAACAAAGGTCATCTTTGCACAGAAGGCGCCTCAGAGTTATGGTCATCTCCTAATCTACTAATGAGATAATGAAAATGATAAATAGTTTCAATCAATTTCAATTAGATTTCCTGCCAACTACATTTTCTGCAAATTTAAGAAACTCTTCCCCAAGGACCTTGTGTCAAACAGAACTTAGAGTTGAGATTGGAAGTGATAGAAAACTGAAGAAGAAATCAGGAAGATGGGAGGGACATCATGGGAGCCAATCAGGTGGCTTGCTAGGTTAAGGCATTTGACACCAAGCCTGGAACCCATATAGTGGAAGTAGAGAACTGGCCCCTGTGGGTTTTTCTCTGACCTTTAAACCGATGCTGTGCGACAGCCCTACCCCAAATATGAATACAAAATTAAAACAGCCAAGTGTGGTGGTTCACATCTTTAATCCCACTCAGGAAACAGGCAGGCAGATTGATAAACCTTCCAGGCTAGCCTGGTCTACACAGCGACATAGTGAATTCCAGGCCAGCCAGAACTACACAGCAAGTGCCTGCCTCAAAATGAAACAATTCTACCTTCATCTGCGGCTGGAGAGATAGCTCAATAGTCAAAAATGCTTGTTGCTCTTACAAAGAACTCTCAAGTTTGGCTCCCAGCATCCATATCAGATGACTCACAATGGCCAGTAACTTCAGATGCAGGGGATCTGGTGCTGCTGGCCTCCAAGGCTCCAACACTCACAGCCCCAACACACATATCCATGACTAATAATTAAAATAGGTTTTAAAAATTTAAAATTTTAAATAAAGAATTTTGAGACAAAGATGAGCTTTCTTCACACCAGCCTCCAGAGAGATGCATCTAGGTACATCCTCATTGGCACAAGGGCCAGGGTGAACTGGTCAAGAGCAGCAACGTGCCAAGGGATCCCAGAAGATTTGTTCACATGGAATGTAGAGTGATGGACTGGCTGCAAGGCCGTGTTATCTGATAAGCAAATAAGACACAGCCTCTCGTGGGTACAGAGTGCCTGGAAGTCAACAGACATTTAAATAACTTAGTGGGCATTTTGTGACTTCCGCCTGCTCCTTAAGAAAAGCCCATGACACAGTGTATTTTTTTTAAATAAGATTATCTTCATAGGTTTACCTATCATTTACTTCTTTTAATTATTCTATTACTTTTAAATTATGTATGGCTATTTCAGGAAAGAATCATCAATAGATGTTAGGATCAGTGGGTGCAAGTAGAAAGGAAAAGATCATTTACGTCATTTCAAAGACTCTCCCCAGGAAATGCCATGCTCCACTGGAATTCCATAACTCTGCAGGAGGGATGCCCATGAAGTCGGTGGGAATCGGGTACCTCTTGATGTCATGGACTGAGCAGACTATCACTGACGCCTGTGGTATTCCCATCTAAGTGTGCACTGGGTTTAATCTCGAGGAAAGATCAGAGC